GAATTCCACTCTGCATATTAATCTGAGAAGTATGACTCAGCTAAGTATATTCATTTTCTCTGAGATTTTCTAGTTTCTGTAACTTATACACAATGCTATTATTATATGGGTCAAAGGAATAAATAGCAGAAGAGCAAAGAGGTTAATTATGTATAGAAGATTAGACTATGAGCCTGGTCTACAAGTCATTTTGCTGTCACATTTTATGGGTTCATGCACCATGCCTTGAAGCTTTGGCTTTTGAAAGCACATTGCTTTCTTATCATAAACATTTGCCTGGCTGTTTTAGCATTTAGACGCCTTGTCTTGTATCTTTTGCAAGATGTGAGATGGGAAAAAATATATTTCTGAGGCATAATCAAGCATGTAGTATTTCAGCAGTAAAAGAACACAAACAATACGGTTGATTCATTCAGGCAGCAAATAAGCCCAACAGAACATACGGGAGATTACTTATCAGTAAAAATGCATAGTTAATATTCTGATTATTCAATGTATTGATAATCCAATATTTTGATATGCTGAATACAATAAATTCAGAAGGATGGTTCTATTGATGGTCCTCTACTTTTTAGTTGTTGGTTTGGGGGGGGAGGGGGGTTAGAGGACTAGAAGTAGGGTAGGGAATACATTTCATCGCACTGGAAGTCAAAGGTCAGAGTGACATTGGATTTTGACCCAATTGATAACAGAAATATGATTGTTGATTTGCATGGTTTTGTGTTCCATTATGTCTACAATTCTGCTAACCAACATATTATAATCTACAGAACATCATGAGAGACAGGAGAGAGCGAGAGCAAGAAAGAGAGACAGGTCTTCACAGTAGCCTGAAGCTAATCAAATTCTAACATGGATTAGTAATGTTGAGAAAACGTGGCACTTCATAAGCAGTTTCCCATTTTGATCTCTTTAATCCCACACCATTCAGTAAAAGTAGTTATATCTTGAGATCACTGGTGACAATGCCATTTGCACAAAGATAATTAGGAATTACACTTTCTATATGGCAATGACACCTTTAGCATGACACATACTGTTCATGACTTGGGATGCGGGAATCTGCAAGTTAATTACCGCAGCCGTCCACCTTTTCCTACCTCAAAATTTATTCTGTGTTGATTCTATGCAGAAGATACTTTTAAAATACTGAATAAAGTTCATTCTGGTTTGGCAGGTTTTTCCAACTATGTGGATTCTTGGATTTCATTTTTTTTTAAAAAAAATGTCTCATGTACACATTGCTTGAAAACATCCACCCATTGACTAAATTGCAAATTCCTTCATTTTTTAATGTGTGTATACTATCTTTCTCTACATTGTTTCAAATGTATATTATGTGCATTTGGGTTGTTCCAGAGAATGTATCACAAATACTAAAATATGTGAATTTCTGTATGCTAAATAATGTCACTCTGTCTCCATTTCTGGATAGTGTGAGGATCTATGGAGGAATTTTCCTAACCAAAAATCTTTCAAAGCACCCCTCCAAGTATTGCTCTTCACAAGTATAAATCATGTGGAAGCAAGTCTTCCTGAAATCAGCAGCATACCTTTCCAAATAATAGTCATTCTAATTTTAACACATAAGGCCCAGATCCAAATGCCAGTCTTAGCAAGAGCATATCAATTGAATAGATGTGATTTACATAAGTATTGAATCACCATTCAGCAATTAACTCTATTCTAGTTGAGACATGTGCCTAAATTCAAGCAATGCTAAATAATATCTATTTCAGATGGAAAGGTTAGCATGTTCTTAATTGATTTCTCATTGATTTGAAAGCGCTTGAAAAAAGTTCATGTGGCTGGATTACATCCAGGCATGTAGATTAGATGACTATTCTGTAGATGAAGCACACCAGCATCTTCAAAAACCGCAATCACCACCACCACTAATGACAACAATAAGACCTCTTCTATACTGCCATATAAAATCCAGATTATCTGCTTTGAACTGGATTATATGGCAGTGTAGATTGATATAATCCAGTTCAAAGCAAATAGTGTGAATTATCAAATTCAGATAATATAGATGATGGCGTAGAAGTGGGCTAAGATGCTTCTCCCCAGAAACATTTTTGAAGTCTGACTAACTCACCAACATAGGTTTCAACGATTTCCACCACCCTTTTAATGTAATTTCAAGAATTTCTTAGCCAGCACGTAAGATCTCTTCAAACCCAAATGTGATATATCTGACACACAATCTGTTAGGCCCTTTCTAGACTGTCCTTATATCCCAGGATCAGATCTTCTTATCCCAGATTATATGGCAGTGGAGACTCATATAATCCAGTTGAAAGCAGTTGAAAGTTGAAAGCAGATAACCTGGGATTGGATCCTGGGATATAGGTACAGCCTTGGGCCCCATCTACACTGCCAGATAATCCAGGTTATCATAGCAGAAAATGCACATTAGCTGATTTCAACTGAGTTATCTTAGTCTACACTGCCATATAATCCAGTTTACAGTAGATAATGTTGATTTTATAAAATTGTGTAGAAGAGGCTTTAGACATTTAAAATAGGTCTCTCTAATATGGTCTACTGCCTCTGTTAATTGTCTTAGACTACAACACCAAACTGAACAACAACAGCAAAATCACTATGAATTGCTCTGAAAATCCTGCACAAATCACACCTCCTTCCGCATGCCTGAAATTTATATGATACTTCTCTCCCAAGAAGGTATTCAAATATTAATTAAAATTCTTAAAATTTTAATATCCTTTAAAGCTCAGCAAAGTGTATGATTTATTTAAGATGAGGCCAATATAACTGTAAATCATTTGCAATGTTATTTGCAGCTATATCAAAGAAATCTTTTATTCTTCCTAATGGTGTTTTCAGAAAAATACATTAAAGATAACCCATTCCAAGTGCATCAAGTTAGATAATTTTTATTTTATAATAAAGTAATTGATCTGGACAACTCATGCAAATAAAATATAATGTAAACATGATTAAATTAAATTAAATTCATAAGCATGTCAATACAAAAATCTCGAAAGTTATAGTAGCTGGATATTTGATGTTGTAGTTTCATAACCCATGGCAAAAATTTGTGTGTGGTTTCTGGGATAATCAATTTCAAATCATACAGAAAACAAGAGACAAAATGTGCATCTACACTGTAGAATTAAAGTGGATTGAGGACCCACTGCCATATACAATCCAGATTATCTGTTTTAAATTGGATTATATGGCATGTAGACTCATATAATCCAGTTCAAATAAGATATTCTGGATTATCTCATTAGATCCAGCTTTATAGTAGGGCTGGGCGGTTTCGTTTCGTAATTCGTAATTTGTTAAAAATTTGTTATTTTTTTTATAACGAAGCGATAACAAACCATTCAGGAGCAACTAAAAAACGAAACGAATTTTTAAATTTGTTTCGTAATTGCTTCGGATTCGTTTTGTATTCGTTTCGTTATCGTTTTGAAATCGTTTCGTTATTATTTCCGCATGTCTGGGGCAAGTTTTATAGTTGTTGTTTGTTTAATCAGTGAAAAAAAATTATAAATATCACACCAACAGTCAACAACAGAGGGAGAGGGAAGCTTCAAAAGTTCCCCCTGTCCCATTTGGAGGTTTTTTAGCGTATTGCGCTGTCGCGTCCGCCATTAACGAATCGATTCGTAATTGTTTCGTAATTGTTTCGTATTGTTTTGTAATTTACGAAATTTCGTAAATATCGAACTTTTTAAAAGAAAAATTTCGGAATTCTTTTAAAAATTGAAACGCAACCCCCCCCAAAAAATGAATCGATTTTAGAAACAAATTTTTCCGTTGTTACCCAGGCCTACTTTATAGTATTTTAACTGTCATGTAGTATTTTAACTGTCATGATGCAATGTTATGGAATCCTGAGAATTTATAGTTTGGTGAGGCACCAGCATTCTAGTGGAGAAATTAAAGACTTTGTGAAACTATGACTCCCATGATTCTATATCTTGTGCCATAGCAGTTAAAGTGGTATCAAACTACACTGTAGTGTTGATGTACTCGAAGACCTAAATGACTTGCTACTGCAAACCAAAGTAGACAATTTCAATCAAACAATGCAAGGTTAAGTCAAAACTTCTATAAATCCAAATGAGTCTTCTCTAGACAGGACTAGCAGCTGAATTTACGCCATAATATTTAAGTAATCTTCCTAGATACAAAGTAAGTAGTGGATGAACGAGATTATTACAAATACCTCAATAAAAGGAAAACATGACATTGTTTCAGATTCTTCTGCACTACAAGGACATAGTGTGTTTGAATAGAGTATCTCTCTAAATCCCACAGAGGTGAATATATCATATTAAAACTTGGAAGAGTAAATACCCTCGTGTACTTTGGAATGCTCAATTTTTTGAAATATTTAATAAGAAAATTAACAGAAATATTGTAAATGCAAAGTGACAAAGGGGAACAAGTCTTACTCAGTGCTGAAAGTGAACTTTGAAAGTCAGTATTATTAATACATTGGATTATACAAAGACTAAGCCTTGATATGAAATTGAAAGAAACAGATTTTATTCTATAGAAAGACACAGAAAGAGATAGAAACACGGGTAATGTATGCTTTCTCCTTCATGTTGAAATGCAATTATAGAAAAATAATGACAATTCAATATGTCCATAATAAAACTATATCCAGTGATTAGTTCCATCATTTCAGCTACTACGTTTCTGGGCTTAATAAATGCACAGTGTACCAGGAAATCCCAAGAATGGGCATTAGAGCAGGCCCACATCACAGTATGTCTGCACAGGATGTAGTTGAATTGGAGATGACCCAATGCCATCTCTGATGTTGGTTCAGTCCAAAATCTATTACCATACTCATGCCATGAACACATCTACAGTGCAAGCAGTAGCACTGGGATATTCAAAAGGTTAGTTACCTAATATGAAATTAAACTGTGAATTCGCACTTGCAAAGACATCAACATTTCCCAAAATTTAATACTTTGTTTTGTTTTGTTAAGAAAAGCGGTACTTACATATTCTTCATAAGGTTCTTGCGCTGGGGGAGGGGGTGGCCTGTAACCTGGCACAGCTGGAGCTCCTCTTGTTCGAGGGGTTGGAACACCTCTAGCTACAGGAGGGACTGGGAGTACTCCACGTGTCACAGGAGTTCCTCTTGGTGCTTGAGCTCCTCGTCCAGGTGGTGGAGGAGGAATTGCATTCCCACGTCCCCTGAGAAAGAGCAAGGCATTTATCTTAATATGAAAATAAGATAAATAGCTAAAGAGAATGGTGACACTGGGTTTCAATGGCTAAGCAGGGATCTGAACATGGCCTTCAAAGTACTTGCCCACCAGACATACAACTATGTTACAATAGCTCCAGCTTTCTTCTCAAGGGAATACTTTCTTTTAATATCATCATCAGGATGTCAACAGATATTTCTATTTCTTGGTAGAATGGGTAGATACATAGTAGAAACAAATATATGGTATAAACAACATTTCCATATTTTGTTACATTCACTTCTGTGAATTGTGGACTCTCTGTACATTCAAGTCATGTTATTGATACTACAGATTGCAGCTCTTGTACAGTTGTTTATATATATATACCTTTCGGACCGCATCTCGGCCTATGAGCCCACGAGGGCCTTGAGATCATCCGGGGAGGCCCTTCTCTCGATCCCGCCCGCCTCACAGGCACGTCTGGCGGGGACGAGAGAGAGGGCCTTCTCAGTGGTGGCCCCCCGGCTGTGGAACACCCTCCCTGTTGACATCAGACAGGCGCCCTCCCTTATGGCTTTTCGTAAGAGCCTAAAGACCTGGCTATTCGAGAAGGCATTTAATTGAGACCCACACGAATCTGGTAATGACATTTGGAACGGACTATGGATTATGAGATTGGCTATGATTCTATGTTGTGATGATGCGGATTAGTTTAGTGTAATTTAGATTAGTGTGTATTATTGATATGTTGATTTTGGTGTGCTTACTGTAAATTGTTTTTATATGTTGTACACCGCCGCGAGTCGCCCAAGGGCTGAGAGCGGCGGTCAACAAATGCAACAAATAAATAAATAAATACACACACATATATGAAAAATAAAGACAGGCTAACTGACCTTGAAGGTGCTGCAGGTGGAACCCTGATTCCTCTTCCTCGAATGCCTCGTCCACGGGTTGAATCCTCTGAACCATTTAAATATGATAATTCTCTCAATTGCTCTTGGCGGATTTCATCATTATAGTCCTAAGAAAAGGAGGTAGAAGAACAGCTGTCATTTACACAACTTCGGCTGCTTTGATTTCTCTCTCTTTTTAAAAATGCAAAACAATTTACATATTTTCAAAAAGCTATAAATGAATTCTCTGCTTAAGGTTTCTTTTAAAAACAAAGTTGCAAGCAAATATTTTGTAGCTACATAATGAAGATTACTGGTTACGCTACGAAGCTAGCTTGTTTACATATAAATAAATCCAACTGGATTCAATGAAACTTCCTTGCCAGTATGCTTAGGATTTAACAAACTACCACTGCCCGGTACTCATATATAAAGAATGTGTAAACTGTGCACAGGCAATCATCTAGCCTGATTGGTTAGTTTGACCCAATGCCAGGCTGCACTCACATTCAAGTAATGCTACCTGGTTGTCCTTTTAGCCACGGCTTGGGTTGGATTCCCAATTTTTCCCCTTTTTCTTTCTCATGCAAGATCTGAGTTAATTACGTCAACATATCTGCACAACATTTATGGCATATCTGCAAGAAAAGTAGCTAAAATCTCCTGTATTTCCACAATAATCCAGTCCTGCATGTGCCTCTATCATTGGCAGTCATTCACGTACACCTCTCATTTATCAGACCCAGTACTCATTCCATTTCACCACAGCTAATCAGTTGCACCACCTTCTGCTCCATCTTTATTTGAAAACTTATTCCATTACCATGAGCATTAGGCTTGTGCATGGATCTATTTTAGCCATTTTCCTTCGGCCAATGACTTCCTTGGCTTAGTCGGGTAGCCATAACAGCAAGGGTCCATCTGTCACATTTTTCAATCCATAACAGAGCCACGTGGCAGCCGAAAACTGCTCTTCCTTCCCTATTCGGCATCACAGTTGCTTCCTGGCTTCAGTGTATTTTTGGCTCGGATTCTGGCTTGGTCTCTCTCTTGAATATTTTTTATTTTCCTTGATTTTCATTATTCTTTTTATTTAGTGGGAGTGACTGGGAGTTGGGAACATGCAGGAGGGATGGGTAGGGTGCACTTGTGCATTTGGGGGCTTGAAGAGTCACCCTTTTAACTTCTTTTTCTCCTCTCCTCCTCTCCAGAAAATATTTCTAAAGGTAATAATTATTAATAACAATAATAGTAATCCCACCAAATAAAAAGTAATGCCTCATTTTCAGAAAACTGCCACCACCTAGTTACCTCTCCTCTAGAGAAGAAAGCAAAAAAAGCTTTAAGGAAGCATTAAATCTGAAGCAGAAAGGTGTGTGTGTGTGGGGGGGGGGGGGGGGGGGGGGGCACCACTCCAGGAGTGCAAATCAAGAGAAAAAAGAGGAAACCCAGGGTAGGATAGCTCTCAGTTGTTGTATTGCTTTTATCTGATGTTTTAATTGGTAAGTGTTTTACTTCTATGTTTTAATTGGTTTTTGGGCTTGTCCCTTGTAAGCTGTCCCAAGTCTCCAAGGGAGATGGTTGGCGGGGTATAAAAATAAAATTATTATTATTATTATTATTATTATTATTATCACTCTTTATTCCCTGAGAGGTGGGAAGCCTCCTTAAAATGCCTTGGAAAGCTGTGTGCAGAAAGAGAGCACATATGCCTGTAGCACCTGTCTCCTCTAGAGTAGAAAGAAACAGCTTTATCATTAAACCCAGTTTCCTCTACAGACAAAATGGAATTCAAAGTTAAAATACCACAGAATTGGGCCAGGTCTAGCTGCATTTTTCGAGTGAGAATCAAAAAAGACTATCCAGCTACCCGCCCATTTTTGGGAGGCACGTGAAAACAGATACGGGGGTCTACCAGAATCTGGCCAGCAGAAATGGATTGAGGTTCAGCCGAAATACACAAGCCTAATGAGCATTATGTTCCTAACCACTAACCCAGAATGCTATATAAGGGTGAATAATACATTATTTTTCAAAAGATCTAGGGCAGTGGTTCTCAACCTGTGGGTCCCAGGTGTTTTGGCCTACAACTTCCAGAAATCCCAGCCAGTTTGCCAGGTGTTAGGATTTCTGGGAGTTGAGGGCCAAAACATCTGGGGACCCAGAGGTTGAAAACCACTGATCTAGGGGAAAATTTCCATAAACCATAGCAACTGGGAAATAGAGGGAGAAAACGTGGAGGCAGTGACAGACTTTGTATTTCTAGGTGCAAAGATTACTGTAGATGAAGACTGCAGCCAGGAAATCAGGAGATGCTTACTTCTTAGAAGGAGAGCAATGCCCAATCTCGATAGAATAATGAAGAGTAGAGACATCACACTGGCAACGAAGATCCACATAGCTAAAGCAATGGTATTCCCCATAGTCCCCTACGGATGTGAGAGCTGGACCATAGGGAAGGCTGAGCGAAGGAAGATATATACTTTTGAACTGTGGTGTTGGAGGAAAGTTCTGAGAGTGCCTTGGACCACCAGAAGATCCAACCAGTCCATACTTCAGGAAGTAAAGCCCGACTGCTCATTGGAGGGAAGGACAGTAGAGGCAAAGAAGAAGTACTTTGGCCATATCAGGAGAAGACAGGAAAGCTTAGAGAAGACAATGATGCTGGGGAAAATGGAAGGAAAAAGGAAGAGGGGCCGACCAAGGGCAAGATGGATGGATGGGATCCTTGTAATGACTGGATTGACCTTGAAGGAGCTGGGGGTGGTGACAGCGACAGGGAGCTCTGCTGTGGGCTGGTCCATGAGGTCACCAAGAGTCGGAAATGACTGAACAAGTGAACGTCAACATAGCAATTTATAGCGTAATCCTGGTAATGTCTATATTCAGAAGTCTCACTGTGTTCAGGGTGGCCTGCATCTATGCAAGCAGGCACAGAATTTCAGTCTTTGTTTTACAATAATAGTAGTATAAGAAGAAATGTCAATCAAAAGTGTTATGACTAACAAAGATATGAAATAAGTTATATGAAATAAGAAATTTCCATGCATAAAACAGATGGTTCAACTAATGTCAGTTCTAGATTAATTTAGATTTAGAATAGTTGTGTAAATCCATACATGCTTACTCAGGAGTAAGGTTCATGTGCAAACTTCTTACAGTAGTTATCCTAAAAATGTCCAGATCTTGATGCATTACACCACATCTAACATTCCCAAATTGCAATCAGAGTTGGGGGGGGGGGTGCTCCAGTGGCTACCCTATGCTCACTCTTATGTACATTTAATCACACATGAATATACATATAACAAATGAAAACAAGTATGCATAGAGTCTCATGATAGACAGCCAGTTTGTTCCCATTCCTTTCCTCTGCCATATACTCTTTTACAAAGCCTTCACTTGACAGATGTATATAAAGTGATTATTTTATATTGTTAAAGAACTGACTGGATTTTTAGTATCCCATGAATTTTATGATCTTTGACCATTTATGTCTTTAAATAATTTTCTTTGTCACAGAGCAGCAAACATCTTCTAACTAGGTGCATCTGTCTTTGAGATTATAAATTGCCTTGTTAATTGTTAAAGCATTACCTAGTTAAGTGGCATGAGCTACAGTTTTCTCAATAAAATTTCAGCATACCGAGTCTTTCCCAGAGTACTCTGGGCTTCTTCTGAATCAGTAAGCAGAAGACTGAATGAATGTATTTTCTGTTAACATAATTGCATAACATGTCCTTCATACGACCTCATAAGACAGGTGGATTTACCCATCATATGCCACTTCGTCTCCTCTTTCACCTTGGAGCCCTCCTCATGATGGACATCAACTTCCATCTGGGCTCCATGGTGAAAGAGGAGAGAAAGCAGTGCATGCCGCGGTAAGGGTCACATAGGAGGTTTCATGTTGCCTTAGGAGGAATTGGGAGGGGGGAGACAGGTGTCGACGTTTCTCCCCATGGGATGGAGGTCCAGGTAAAATGAGGGATGTAGGGTATGGAGCGATGGGTTCTCCATACCCCCTGTTGGGACCCCCATGTATTCGTCACAATGCATGGCAAATCCTTAGTTTAATGTGATAAGGTCCATAGAATAGGTGTGGTATTTCTCTATAAAGTGTATCAGTGGTACTTTGTTTTTGTATCTGTGGTTGTACTAGAAAGATTCTAAGGCATTTGCTAACTTTCAATCTATAAGTTTAGCAGATCCTTAGAAAGATTCCCAGGCCCTTCCACACAGCCCCATATCCCAGAATATCAAGGCAGAAAATCCCACGCTTTCTGAGTGTGGATTCAGATAATCCAGTTAAAAGCAGATATTGAGGCATTTTCTGCCTTGATATTCTGGGATATAGGGCTGTGTGGAAGGGCCCGCAGACATTTCCTCACTTTTATCTTTCACAATTAGAAAAGTATTTGCCCAGTGCATTTTTGTCACAGCAGACAAATGCCTCCGTATGATTCTTGTTTTGCTTCCACGACATACAGTTGCACCAAAAACATCTGCCATCCTTCGGTAAAGGCAGAGAGTTGGTGTGGAAACAGCCCATGCCATGAGGAAGTCAACGAAGAAACAGAACTGTTTTGAGACATTTTATAGCCTCTGAGTTCAATTTACACCATGAAGAATTAAGTTCAGAAATGTTTCAATTCCTGATATCAAACTCTGGAAAACATGCATGTTTTATTTTTTTTTAAATCTGAGAAGATGATTAAGGCCCTTCCACAGAGCCATATAACCCAGGTTATCTGAGTCCACACTGCCATATATTTCAGTTCAAATCAGAAAATGTGGGATTTTATTCAGCTGTGTGGAAGGGGCTTTGAAAGTTCTCATAGATATGTATGATGTAATCTGAAATAGCATAATAACTTGATTTGATTCCATGGGTTATGTGAAACACATTCCATCAAAGTTTCAAGAAACAGTTTCTAAATAAAGCTACACAAACCAGGAGCTGCTTCATGCTCCACATTATAGCATTATCATTCCACTTTTCCCTCACTGGCTGCATTCAATGGAATCCTGGATTTTGTAGTTTGGAGAGGAACTAGAACTATCTGGCTGAGGATTTTAAAAAGACCTAAATAGCAAATTTCAGTTTCATATTATGTTTTCATTTCAG